TTGAGAGTCCACTATATAGCTCTCCAGTTCCAAAACTAGAGTTTTTCATGGTTTGTAATCAATTAGGCAGGGATCTAGTTGGTCAAGATTAATTACTTTTTCCAGTAGCTTCCCTTCTTCAGCGGTTGATTGTACTTCGAATATACTCTCTTCTTTAGAGGCATATACGATTTCGATATGTTCTCTTGTTCAAAGTTTTGCCCTTGTTCAAGGTTGTCGATCTCATATATGTCTATTAAAATTACATTAACATATTTTGGTTCAACTTTTCTAATGGAGTTGGAGTAGTACTTCTTAGCACTTAGTTGGTCAACCTTGATCGTGGTAATACCATTTTCTATTAGGAACTTCATGCATAGATAATGGATGGAACTGATAGTCCATAGTTCCTTCAAAGTCAACCTTCCAAGTACTCCATGATAAGCAGAATGATGGCCCACCACTAAAAACTCCATGAAATGATGAGCTATTAGGGTGTAATTTCATCTCTATTACTAGAGTGATTTTTTCTCATGGGATGACCCTATCACTAGTAAATCTGTATAACAGAAAGTTCATTGGTGTTAACTCATGGTCAATTTCTTCTTATCGAATATAGTTCCAAATATAATGTTAACTGAACTTCCGTTGTCTCCCAGCATTCTTTTGAGACCATTGCACTCTACCATAGCTTTTACAACCAAAGCGTCACAATGCAGATAATGGACACCCACAACATCATCTTGAGTGAACATGATGGGTTGAATTCCTCTTTCAGTAAAGGGTCGGCTATTGCCGACTATGAAGCTTGCCATTGGGGATATTTAACTTCCTTGGCATAATTCATTTGGGCATTTCTAGACTCTCTCCCAACGTAGAGACCTCCAAAATGGTGTCAATCACTTGAATGGATTCGTGTCAATCACTTGAATGGATTCATGTCAAGCATTGGCTGAGAGGCTCATCTTCTAGAGGCCTTTCCCCCTCGTTGTCTTACCTTTGTTGGGTATCATCCCTATTGGGATGCCTCTCCTCATCGTTCCTAAGTTATCGAGCTTGCCTAGGAGTTACATTTCTTTGTGGGTGATTGCTTCTTCTCTGATTGTTTGGGTGCTTAGTGATATTTCTATATCCATCAGTGTTTTGGCTATAGGAATTATGGTACGTACAATAGATGGGTGCTTCGTCCCTATTCCTAGGTTCTGTACCTCGCTCCCTACCATGTCCCTACTTGTGGGAGTTGTTGGTAAGGCCTTACTTGATACATTTTTAGCTGGAAGTTACCTCTTTGTAAGCCAAAGTAGGAACCTCATTCAATATTGTTGCAGCTAACACTTGTCCTAGGTTGAGGAAGGTCAAAGGTCTAACCTGGTGGTCCATTAAGTAGGAAGTGTGACCTCTTTCTCTTAGCATCTATAGAGGTGGAAGTCTTCAGTTTCCCCTAATTCATAAATTTTTAATTCTTCATTGATGATCTCTCACCTTATAATTTCTAGCAAGGTATCATAACTGTAGGGTCCTTGTTTTGTACATCTCTTCAGAAGAAAGAGTTCATATCTAATCATCTCCTTAGGGACGTTAGTGCCTCCCTATCTGTGAGTTGTACAGAGTAGGTTATCTCATTAGTAGCACGAGATAGAAAAATTTTTAATGACTCCCTTGGTTGTTGCCTCATATCTTGGAGGTGCTGTATTGGTCCTTTGTCTTCTTTGCTTATGGCGCAGTGTTTAAGGAAAGCCCTATTAAAATTTGGTTAGCTTCGGATGCTTCACTCCGGGAGCCTGGGGTAACATATCTCGGCTGCTCCACTTAGACATAAACATGCTCAAAACTCCTATAGAATGAGTAAGATCAAGTCTAGTACAAACTATGATATATAGCAAAGATCCTATAGCATTGGTATATGGAACCTTTAGTGTACATTGAAAATCTTCATTAGTAAAATCATCTTTACTTAAGATAAAGATTAGCTAAAGGTGATTTTGCATCAACCATGGCAAATTTCTTTTAAGTACTTTTAGCATATATGCAGTCTATATCAACCTATTTTTTAAGTACTTTCAATACATACGCAGCCTGTATCAACTTAATTCAGTTTTAGGTCTGTCTCCTATTATATCCATGCATGAAATTCTTTTAGAATTTCCTAAGTGATTCATGTCAAATTTAGAAAATAAAGCATTTTTATTTTCTCAATTAGCTTTTTACGAGGACTTATAAGTAAAATATCATTCACATAAAGTAGCAAATAAATAATAGAAGGCTTACCAGATTCATATTTGTAAAACAAACGGTAATCATAATTGCTTCTTTTGAAATCTAAAGAAAAAACAAATATATCAAATGTTTTTTACCATTGCATTGGAGATTGCTTCAAGCTATACATTGATTTTTTTTAAGAGGCAAACAAAATCAGATTTATCTTTCTCAATAAATCAAACATGTTGATTATATAAATATTCTAAATCACCATGTAAAAATGTAGTTTTTATATCTAGTTATTCATTTTCCCAGTAAAAATGAGTTACTAAGCATAACTTTACTCTTATACTTGTATACTTAACAATTGCAGAAAAAACTTCATAGTAATGCACCATTCTTTTTGTGTAAAGCCCTTAGCCACTAATCTGGTTGTAAATCTTAAAAGGCCAAACTTAGTTTTTCCTCTTTTACCTTAAAGATCCATTTTTAGTGAACTATGGTCTTATTTCTAGGTTTAGGAACTAAGTCCCATGTATATTTTTCTCTAAAGACTTAATTTTTTCTTACATTTTCTCATACTTTTCCATTTTCACTCTCAATGGCTTCTTCATAAGTTTTATATTCATTTTCACTTTGCTCTTGGAAATTCGAGAAGGCACATAAAATACAATCTGAAAATCCTAGTCTATTAGGACTCCTCGTAGTTCTTCCATATCTCTAGCCAATTGATGATCCCTTTGAGTGCCTTGTTCTCTATTTGGTTTTATTTGTTCTAAACCTATGGATTCATCACTTCGATCTTCTTTCATCTCCTGTTCTTCTTATTCTAAAGAAACTTGAGGATTTTGAGGCTTCACCTCAAACTGGTTACTATTTATGTCACTTTCAATTTCTATTTAAGGTGCTTTTAGTTCAAACTATGTTATAATTTCCTTAGACTTATCATGGTGTTCACATCCCTCCTGATAACTATCTTGACTTCGCCTTGGCCCCTAGCCCACAGTTTAATGCCTAATTTTTTAGGGTAACCCAGAAACACGCATTTCTAATCCATTGGCTCTTGTTTTCTTATAATAGAAAATTTTATTCCACATTTCAAAAGGAGTTTTATCATTTAAAGCAATAGCATGAGTCAAGTCAATCAAATAACAAGCTAAAAGCACAAGTCAGTCGACGAAAAGAAATGTAGTGAATGTGGAACAAGCTAAAAGCACAAGCCACAAAAGTGTTAAGAATATCGAGATTATATGGATGAGACCAATCTTAGAATTTAAGAGTTAAAAATTGCATTAGTTTACAAATGGCATTGGAAGTGATCTTTTATTGTGGCAAGGCTGAAGTGGTGGCCATTGATGAAGAAACACATGGCTTCATCCTAATCGTCTATGAAAAGGTAGCCACTCTATGACTTAGGTCTGCGAAACTATGTGGTAGACTGACATGACTTGACATTATGCTGCTGCAGAAGGTTACATCAATCATTTTCATAAGATCTTGTGTACGGAAGATATCTTGGAAAAATTAATGGTGATAAAAGATGTTCATTCAGATAGGAGACTTCTACTTTGCTTATGGGGCCTTCGGCCTCAAATGGCGCAGTAGAAAGCACCTTCGCTTTGGTCACCATGCTGACACTATGGTAAGGCTACTGTTGAGGTGCCTATTTCATCGCATTTGATGACATGAAGTGTGGGCCTTAGTAAGTCTCCTAGATGGCAGCTATATGGTTCTCTTGAGTTAGTTACCCAAATGGTCATTGAACTTTGTAAAAAATTTTCATCATGTCACTAAACTTTAAAAATTACTCAAGTCATCATTGAACTTTGCAAAAAGTTTTCACATGATCATTGAACTTTGCAAAAGGGTTCCATGAGATCACTGAACATTAAAAATTATCTCATTCATCACTGACTTTATAAAAACTTTCCTAGAGGTCACTGAGTTCGGTGACTCTTGAGAAAGTTTTTGCAAAGTTCAGTGATCTCGTAGAAATCTTTTGACAAGTTTAGTGATGAATGGAGTGATTTTTGAAGTTCGGTGATCCCGCGTACATCTTTTGCAAAGTTCAGTGATGATTTGAATGATTTTTAAAGTTCAGTGTTATTAACCCTAGTTCTCTTCTTGAGACTTAGTGGCGAGGCAAAAAAAATAATGAAGTCTTTTATTTATTATATATATTTTTTGTTGTTTTAAACTAATAATTAAGGAATTAAATGAATATGTTTTCAACATCGCGTTTATTGTTAGTCAGTTTTTACATTTTATTGAACTTTAGTATTTTTTAACTTTTGAGTTTACATTTTGATATATTAAGTTCCTACGATAAGAATTATTAAAATAATCATAATTTAAAAAAAAAAAGAGAAAAATTCAATTCAAATCAGCAACGAAAATAACAATGGAAGTGTGTTGCTCATCAACAATGGACTTAATCTGCAAAATTGTTGCTAATTTCATTGCTTATTAGCTAGGAAATAGCCGTTGGTAAACACCAACAATTTTTTTTTCTCTAATTTATCAATGGCCCAAAAAATGAGTCAGCAAATTAGCGACAAGAATTTTACTGTCTGATTTACGAACGGAAGGTTTTCGTTGATAAAAGCTAAGCTATTACATACGAAATTCAAGTCATCTGCGAAGAAAAATGTTTCTAAGCCCGTTTTTTGTAGCGTAAATTATGGCACTTCAAAGTTTAGCCGTTAGTTTGACTAATAGGAATAGAAAAAGTGATATTCCATTTCTTGGTTTCAAAGTGTCAACTCTTCCCATCTTTTTCTTGATTGTAGATTTACAAATTCAAGACTGATAAATCGGCATAATTGAGCTTTAAATAGGAATCATTTTATTGGGCAAGCAAAGCCATAGAACAAGGGTTTCATAGGTCTAAAATATAAAAGTAAAGACAGTTACTGCTTTCACAACATATAGAAGTAAAGACAGCCACAAATGGGCTGTTAAACAGTTCTACTCAAACATTACTCTTCCTTGTTCGTCCTATTTCTTTGCAGATGACCTGGTACCTGTTGCCTACAACGACGAAAATATAGAAACTCCTTAGATTAGTTGAACAATGAGTAAGAGAACAATTTAGGCTTCATTATAAGAAACTAAGAAAGCATATTTATGATTGTTGAAAACGGGATTTAATCAAATAAATTTATCTTCTATGTAAGAACTTAAGAGTTAACGATGAGGTAATTTAACATGGGATACAGTCTGGCGGAGAACTTGAGTTCGAGATTGTATTTCTGGTTTTGATACAACGATTATATTCACCTTTATTAATCACCCGTAGTCCACCATAACATTATTAACCTAATATAATCTATCTAATTTCATTTTTAATTTTTAATGTGGTGTAATCTAATAGATTCTAAGTGTTGTTTCTGATGCTGTACAAATTACGTTAAGGTAATTCTGACAGATTATCTGGAAGGAGAAACTTATACTCCAGAAACAACACTAAGTTCAAGATGTGGTGGTATAATATTGTATTAAAGCACATTGAAGGCTTATTTAATAAGATGAGGAGGTTCAATATGGACTAGGCAAAAATGAATTCAAGATCGGACTATAAAAAAAAAAAATTACAAATATTTTTTTTACCCATAAAAAATTTAGGAGAGTGGGCGTTCGCCCCAAATCCATCACTGGTGTTAGAGCACATAGATATCATGAACCCATACCTTGCAATCGCATAGTTTTGAAAGTTGTGCACATATCATGCATTTGATGAAAGAAAGATGTATATAGCATGCACGTGAGGGGACGTGTTGGAAACCTTCCCCCTCAATAAGAGCTTAAGGTTTACACGAGGTATTTCAATTATGATCGTCGCCAGAACATACCTTCTTCTTAGGCTCACGAGGCTTTTGTTCTTCCTTCGGAGGGGCCTGTTTAGGGACAGGAGCTTTGGCAGGCTCTTTCTTGCCAGATTGACAACCAGGTTTCTCAGGCTTGAGTGATGCCATCTTTGCACACAAGATATCAGAAAATTTTCTACACCTTATGCTTATTTCCTCTTTGGGATTGCATTTTATAGTTTAGTTTGTCGAGTGTGGAGGGAATAAAAATTGTAACGCATAATGTTACCATCAAAGAAATGGAATAACTGACTGGAAGCCTCTTTTTTAATATGCTGCATCAGATGCTTATCATAGGAAATATGCTGATTCTTTTTGAAGAAAATATCGCCCTTGATATTTAAAGAGTCTTAGAAATTACTCTCAGTCACTTGACTTGTATTGAAAATTTAACTAGGTCACTAATTTTATTTTTCATTTTATACTAGTCTCTCATAATCCGTTTTGTTTTAAGGTTGGTCAATTCCATCAACTTTCCTTACTAAATTACAAAAAGTGAGGAGGAAAAAAAAAAGAAAAAAGAAAAAAACAAAAGAAAAAGGGAGACCCAATTAAATTTTTTCCCTAATAAAATTCGTGTATCTCACAAATTACATAAATTGATTGATCAACAGCATATGTGCTAGGAGGTTAGGTATCAAAGAAGCAGCCACCTTGAAAGAGTTTGTAATATCTCTGTCACTCTGAAATTTGTTGAAGGGAAGATACTGGTGCTCCTTAATAATGCACGCTATGTCACCAGGAATGAAATATTCTAGTTCTCCTTACCAGTGCACACTATATCACTTTGAAAAAATATACCGTGCTTTATTTGTGTCAAAAAGTATAAGGACTTTATTGTAATTGCTAAAACTTTTGAATGTTATTAAATAAACATTGGTTATTTATTTATGTTTTTAAAGAAATTACTGCAATTACTGAGCATGTGACCGAGTGCCTTCGACTAATGGGAGACATGCAAATTGGGTTGAGTTGAGAAGCATATACTGCGAGAACATATATCCATTTAGAAATAAATGTCATAGAATCGAACTTGGGCTCAATTAGCATACTGTCATTATTTTTTTATTTTAGGTTTTGGCCACAATTAATTTTTTTCTTGTTGTTTTATGTGATTAAAAGGTTGTCATTTAAATTGTCATTTGTATAGAATAGAATTCTGGCATCGCTTGTAAAGCTATTGTGGATATCTTCGGGTATCATCTAATAACTTCCAATCTAAATTAGATTGTAGATGGGATGCCAAAAAATATAAAAATAAATAATAATAATAATAATAATAATAATAATAATAGCCAAAAAATATAATAATAATAATAATAATAATAATAATAATAATAATAATAATAATAATAATAATAATAATAATAATAATAATCGAAACTAATACATTCATGGGAAAAATTCATATTTAAGGTGTATTCTTTACATCATTTCAAAAGCCAGGTAAGAAGTTTGAAAATTCAAAATTCAAGTTTGTATTTAATTAATTAAAATTATTTATTAAATAAATATATTAAAGTCACAGTTAAACAATTAATGGTCACAGATTTTACAGATTTATTTATCAGTCACATATCATCAAATTAATTGGTCACAGATTATTTCGAGGTCACAAATCGAAAATTTTATAGATCACAGATTTTTTTAGTCACAGATTATCAAATTTTAAGGTCACGGGCAAAATCATTGAGGTCACAGATTATTATTTTAGTCACAGATCGTCAAATTTTAAGGTCACGAACCAAATCGTTGATGTTACAAATTATTGTTTTAGTCACAGATCATCAAATTTTAAGGTCCCAGACCAAACTTTATGGTCACCCCTTCCACCAGTCCCATCCAGCACCAATCTTGGTCACAAACCACCACCATCCAATCGTCGATTGCACTATACCACCGCAACACCACACCCGATCCCGATCCAATTCCACCACAGCACACCAAAAAAAACCACTATCGCCGTCTGAACTACACCACCAACACTGTCACCGCCAACAATATGGAGATCACCACACTACACAACACCACAACACTATCCAGCAAAAAACCCCAAACCCAACACCCCCACCAACTCCAACACACCACACCACAAAACCACCACCATCCCCGTTCGTCGCCATCACCAAGCCACACAACAACCACCACACCACACCACAAAACCACCACCAAACACACCACCCACGGGCCATGACATAACAAAAATCCCCAAACCCCCAAAGACACCACCCATGTGTTTACCGGCAAAACTACAGATCCGCGTGCAAGGCGTCGATGCTGGAGTTGCACAAAGCGCCGATTGTGCCTTCAATCGACATTTTGGCAATTGGCAGCACAGCGCTTACACCCCGACGCTACCAACTGAGAATCACAGCAACCTCCACCAACAACCAGCACCACAACACCTCGACGCCGCAAGCTGAAAATTGTAGCAGCCTCCACCGAACAACACCACCACACCCCGAAGCTGTCAGCTGAAATCACAGCCTCCATCGACCACCACCACAAGCAGCCTCCACCACTAACACAGCCGACCCGCCACTGCGGCGACCGCACTGGAGAGGGGTGGTGACTGGTGATCAGATGAAATAAAGTTAGAGAGAGAGAGAGAGAGAGAAGCGAGAGAATAAAAGGGATGAAAATACTAGGGTTTGGGAATTAAATTTCAATATTTAATATTTTATTATTAAATCAATACTTGATATTTGAATTATGAATCTTGGTCCCTGATGTTTGAATTGTGATGTTCAAAGACTTGGAATTATGTAATTTTCCCTACATTCATACACAAATAAATAATGAAGCCATTGACTGTAATAACTATCTACTATTGGAGATAAGGATTCAACCTTAAAGACTTAAACTTATCAATTCATTTAACTATAGATGAAGATTTGGATTAGGGTGACATTTCTTTTTATAAATTCACTATAATTTAATTACATTAAAGATAATTAAACTCAACTTATTATCACACTTATATTCTTAACTTTTTTGTGGATCATATTCTTGTTTTTAACATATCATTCATCAAAAAATTTTGTCCTTAATCATGATTTTCATATAAAAATATTGTTAACATACTTTAAAATGAGTATATATTTTTGCATTATTATTTGTTTTGCTTATTTAAAAATTCAATTGGCTAATGAGCTTTTTTACTCCATCTTCAAAAAATAAAAAATAATAATAATTAATAATAATAATAAAAAAATAAAAAAAAAAAAAAAAAAAAAAAAAAAAAAATTAATAATAATAATAATAATAAAAAAAAATAAAAAAAAATAATAATAATAATAATAATTGTAGAGAAACTATAATAAGGAACAACTTATGTTAATTTGAGAATAAGAACGTGATAAGAAAAAGTTTGTGACATAAATATGATAATGTGAAGGGATATGATGCAATTAAAATGTAGCCTAGTTATTAAAAATTGTGTTGTAAAATTGAAGGAAAATTATTGATGATTCCTTAATCTTATCAAAACACTTAGGTCCTATTTGATACAAACCAATTCCATAGAAAATGGAATTATTTTCCATCCAAATGTCTTGCTTGATGGACAAAATTTTCCATGGAATTGGTTTTCCACCCTACCCCCCCCCCCCCCCCCCAA